CAAAATAGACAAGAAAGAAAGGTTTTTTCTTTTCTAACTAAGCAAAGACTTGTTAAAGGATTCAACAAATTCATAGTATGACTATGACTACGATGAAACCTTTACATTAGTCATCTTGCAAAGATCTATTAAAGATATTTTAGTGATTACTACCTTATAAGATTTGGTAGATGGAATTCAAAACACATTCTTGAAATTGTTCATGAAAGAAAATTTGTATATGATACAATCAAAAGTTTGAAGATCCAATAATCCTAGGGATGCATAGCATCATGGAGTTAGTGTTCTTAATTTTGTGAGTAAATCAAATCGTTTGATGTTCTCGTAAAATGAAGAAAGTGTCTTGTGTGTACAAGATGTTTAGTGGGAGCTATGAAGTCTTCTTGGTCTAGTATAAAGAGCAAATTATTCATTGCTTGAAGAGTCAAGTGGTGGTACTGCATTTTGTATGAAAAACCTTGAAGAAGAAGATGAGTACATTTAGGATTCAAGATCTATAGATATAGGTTTCGAAGGATGTTTGAGTTTTGTTATGAAGCTTATATTGATAAGATTCTTATAAGGTTCAACATTATATTGAAAGGAGTTTCAATCCCATGTAATATGGCACATTGCTTAATGATTCAATACTTTGAGAAAGGTTGATGAGACTAAGGTTTTGAGTGATGATCCTTATGCAATTCGCAAAGGATGCATCATGCATGCCATAAACTATACTCTTCTATTTGATTCACGTGTTTTTAGAACAAGTGATAATAGGTTTCAATCGAAATCCAATGTGATGTTGGGATACAAATTAGAAATTCCAAAATTCCTAGTAAAGGGATTAAAGAAGATTCTTAGTGTATGGAGATGAATATTATTAAAATTTAGAAATTGCAAAATTCATGTTTATGAGAATGTCTCATGAACTCTACTTACTAAACCCCTTCCATTTCCAAAGCATGAGAAACATGCTAATGAAATTGGATTGAGGCAAATGATGTAATTAGAAGTTGTATTTGTTTTTGGAGAAAAACAAGTTACATATGTAATACATTCATTTGCATAATTATGTTTATCAATTGAAACAAAGTTTCAATCTTATTTAATCGTGGTTTCAAGATTAAATAAAATGTCCAAAATAATTATGAATTGATGGGCTCATCAGGTTGATGACCTGGTGAATGAAACCCCATAGGTGAACTAAATTCATACATAATTTAAGTTCCTAGTTCGGATTCATTAAACTGGACATAAATGATTTCAATTCATGGACTAGCATGTAAGATTGATTGGATAGCGCAGTTTCATGGGCTATAGGAGCGTAGTGAAGCTCGATCAATCACATGGATATGCATGAATGATGCATGATCGAACTATAGACCTACTTTGAAGTTCAAGTATAGAGCTTTCGTATATATTAGTGGATTCCTTTGACATGAGTGGAACATTGATTTCATTCAATGGATGTTATGGCTCTGGTACACTCAAACATCTGCCCATAACTAGAGATTATAAAGGGTGTTTCCCGGTTATTTCAGAAGTTGAGTGGGAGCTTTGGTTGCCACAAGATTGGATAGAGTCTACCTATTTAATTAGGAATGTGTCTTGGCCCCTTGAAGAGGGAGAATTCAGAAAATGCATGGCCGTGCTCAAATATATTACATAGTAACCATTTGTTTTGTAATTCTCACTCAGTTTTCAAGAAAAGATTTGTAGACTAATATGATAACGACATGAGATGCAATCATATTATCAAATCGACACACATTGACTTAAGGAATTTGAATATTGTGCAGTTGCGCACTTGTCTCAAACAAGTGGGAGATTGAAGGAGTTGTGTCTTCGATAAGTGCAATTACTAGATATATCAAGGATCACTATTATGGAGATAATAAGTTTGTTCTCTTGGGGCGTGATCATCTGTTGCTAGACTATGAGAGATGATCTTTGGGCTAGTCAAATGGTCCAAAGCCCGCTAGAATGGATCCTATGAGGTCATACACAAGGGTATTGGGTTAAGCAAGTTAGAGGCCCATTAATGGGCCTCATGAGCAATTAACTAATCATGAAATGGATTGGGCTAGCATAGTTAGATTGGAAATAAGTTTTGGGCTTTTAACATGGGCTCTTATTTAGAGATGAGATCTATAAATAAGATCCATGCCTAGGGTTGCAAGCAAGCAGTCATAATTCACACACAGTGAATTTTGACATCAAGGCAACCAATCCCAAAACCCTTATTCCCTCTCTAATTCACGGCTCCCTCTCCTTCCCCTTTGGACTCACAGCCGGCCACCCTTGGTGGCGCGTGTGGTGGTTTATGGTGGTTCGTTGCTCGCACTTCTCCATAGAAGGTCAATTGAAGGGTTCAATTGCAACTAACTAGCATTAGTGGAGGTCTTAATCTGTGCCCGTAGACCAAGTAGAGGAATCACGCTTGAGGTTCTTTATCTCCCATTGTTCTTGCTCGATCGCACGTGGAATCACGCTTCAAAGGTACGATTATATGTTCTTTATGTGTTATGCATTAGATCTTGGGATTAGGTACTGTATGAATATGATTCATGTTTATTTCCGCTGCGTAGTACCTATATTTCCCTTCAAGCTCTTAAAGTATAATTTTTAACCCAATTAGAATCAGATTAAAATATTTTGTATAATAAAAGATATGGTCGAAATAGTAAGACGGTGTCAGTTTTGGATAGAGTTTGATATTTTATTCATATCTTTTCCGTTATAGCTCGGAATTGATATTATAATATATCATTGGAAAGATAATTTCACGGGCCATCCAACCATATAATATTTGGATAAAAATATGAGGCACATAAATAATATCTTTCTATCTTTGAACGTCTTTCAATTTGAATAGAATTAGGACTTTCAAAAAGAAAAAATTTATTCAATTTCAAACTCTTTAGTTTTATCTTTTCAAAATGGATAATTAAGATATTTTAGAAACTTATAGAAGCTTCAAATTAATCCTAGTTGGTTTATTAATGGTATTAAATCCTTTGGACCCTCCACATGATCATTGGGTCGTAGGTAAGGTGGGCTTAGGTTCGGTTTGGGCTCAATTTAATGTTTTGGTCATAACTTATTCGTTATAACTTGGATTTGGGCTTATAATATATCGTTGGAAATCTCTTTTCAAGCCCCATCCAAATTTTCAATCATTTGACCCGGATTATAGATCAAAATAAACTGAAATGAACGTTTTTATAAAAAGGACACGAAATGAATGATTTTAAAGGACACGAAATGAATTATTTTGGGTTTAAAGGCACGAAAAGAGGAAAATAAGTTATGGTTTGGGGAAATGGTTAGAAATTTGATTGGTTTATTAAATGTATTGGGATATGAATATGGATTTAAGCACTCTAAAGATTAAATACTCAACCCGGCCAATAATGGCAGTGAAAGGTTGTTCATCATCGGGTTTGGTTTTGGGAAGACATTTTTAGGTTTCTACAGAAGCCGCCACTTTGATTGAGTTTGTAGAAACGTCAGTTTCGAAAACGATAGTCAAAGTAGTCGATAAGGACGGGGAATGATTTAAGACGTTCTGCGATCCTAAATCACTCTGTTTACGCCGATACCTGCAGAAATATGTTAGTTCCACAGATAAAAGAGTAAAGGGATAGAATGCTTATCTGACACCAGTGTATCGGTGACAAATGAGTTTGGCAGCTTCCTATGCTTGAAGGAATCCACCGGATGACGTTTCATTGAAATACTTTCCATGCTTGAGGAAAGTCGACTAATGAGTTTGGTAGCTTTCTATGCTTGAAGAAATCTACCGGATGGTACTTTCCATGCTTGAGGAAAGTAGACATATGAATTGATGATTTTCTATGCTTGAAGAAACCCACCGATAATACTTTCCATGCTTGAGGAAAGTCGACATATGATTTTGGCAGTTTTCTATGCTTGAAGAAACCCACCGGTTGAGATACTTTCATGCTTGAGGAAAGTCGACATATGATGTAATCGCTGACTTCTTCGCTTTGGGAGATGACAACGACCAAAAAATTTTCATGCTTGAGGAAAAACTTGTCTAATAAGATTGCAAGTCTCTGTGTATCGAGAACCTTGCGCCATGAAATGATGGTGGTTCGATTGTCCCCAAACGTAGGCTGTAGTTGGTTCGCTTGTCCCTGAACGTGGGCTATAAATGGTTCGCTTATCCCCGAACGTGGGCTATAGATGGTCCGTTTGTCCCCGGACGTGGGCTGTAATTGAGACCTGAAAAATAAAATTTACCAATGGACTCGTATAGACTATGATTGACTTGACCAACTGACTTTACCAAGCTTGACTTGACATGACATGTTTATAACTTGTGGTTGTGTGTATATATGGTGTGGGTGTGTGCAAACACAAGCAACAGAAAATGCAAAAGCAAAAATTTTCCGTCATTTTTTTCATGAGACGAGTGTAAGGTACTGACTTTCTCCAGAAAAAGAAAGACGTGAAAAATGAATTTTTATTTTCGAACTTCCCTCGATAAAAATTTTGAAAAAGTTTTTGAACTTCCCTAGAAGAAAATAATGAAAAAGGGAAGAAGTTTTGAACTTCCTCCTTGAGCAAGACGAAATGAATTGTATGGATTGAATTGCTTGTTTTGAAAATAGTGTATGCATGATGCATGTTCTTAGGCCAAGAGGCTAAGGACAATTACATCATGTGACACGATATATGAATGAACTTAGGTTATGGAGATAAGCATCATATATGGTGTAAAGAAGCGATCTTGAACGTCACTTAGATTTGGAACACTAGTGGAAAAAATCTTATTTGTAACAAGCTATTCGTAACGGGCATATGATTTCCCGTTAAAATTACATCATTTGTAACGGGAAAATTCAATGTCCGTTACAAATAACGAACTAGTCGTAACCAACAAGTCTTGCCCGTTACGAATAACCAACTAGTCGTAACCAACAAATATTGCCCGTTATGAATAACCAAGTAATCGTAACCAACAACTCTTGCCCGTTACGAATAAGTTTCAAAGTAAACCCTAACTTTTAATTTCCCCTTTCTCACTCTCTCTCTCAAAATATTATTTCCCCTTTCTCTCTCCAATGTTGAAGCAGCTCGGCCGTCGTCCTCATCCTCACTCCCGCAACTCCATTGAAGCAGCTCAGTTATCAGCTCAAGCTTCGTTTTCTCTCTTTCTATTTATTTATAAACTCACTTTACTTCTTCTTGTTCCCCTTCTTAGGGTTGTCGATGCGTTACCAAATCAAGTGAATGGAACTTGGATATGAATACATACGAATACATACTTGTTTTTCTCTGAAACCCTACATCACCAAAGACAATTCTCCAGTTGAAGCATACATAAATTAAAGTTGTGAACCCAGGTATTCTCTCTCCTCTCCTTCTTAATTTAAATTTTCAATCCAATTTGTTTCAGTTCAATGCAATTTATCTTCTTTAATTGCAGTTAAGAAATTGAATTCAACATTTGAATTCGTTTAATTTGTGTTATACTCTTCCTTTGCTTGTATAAATTCAATATGTAAGCCTAAAATTCATCGAATCCTTGCTTTTTAAATTCGTAATTTGATGTTCATTTGATTTTTCGTTGTTTTATTGATTGTTTCAATGTTTAATTGATTAATTTGGTGTTCAATTGGTTGATTTGATTAAACAAGAAGCAGTGTGACGGATACATGGCGTTATAGCTAATATCATATATTCTTTGTTTTTGGTTGAATATGATAGATTAAAATGTCAAAAGTGTTATGTTGGATTTTGTGGAAAAATTAAAATTGATTAGATTTGAGTTGTTGTTTTGCAGCTTGTGAAATTAAGGGTTTGAGTAGTGGAATGGGTTATTGCTTAAGAATCGTGTTGGGTTCCGGGTGACTCATCTAATCCCCAAAAACCACAATATTACAATGGCTTCGATGTAAACTTAAACATGATTAAGGCATTATTATTACATGTGCATTCTGGTTTCAAGATTTTGTTTGTGACTTTTTGACAATGCGTTCTAATTGTCAATTAAAATATCTTGTTTTGAGCACTCATAAGTGATTCATATACCTTACAACATTATTTGGTTAACATGCATGGTGTTGCTTTTAGCATAATTATATGCTTCAACTTTTTTTTGAGTATATTTGGCTGTTTTATTATAATCAACTCTTCATTGTCCCATAGATGATTTGATAATAGTGGATTTGTAATATGTATAGCTTTAATGTCATTGCAGTTGAGATAAGTTAATGATTTTGCTTTGTTTGCATTTAGCTCCTCTGAAGTCTGAAATGTAGAGCTGTTGATTCTGGTCTGCTATCTTGATATTTCATGAAAATAAGTTCTTTGATAGATTTATTAAGGAGCGGAAAGAGAAAGATCCAAAGATGGATGTAGCAGTTGCAACTAACTTTGCTGCATTACCATGAAGATTAGGACGCGAAAGTGTTGTCAAAGCCTTAAAGGATCCTCTCAGTCGCCTAGAACTCTCGTCTGTGGAGCTGTATCAACTACACTGGTGAGCATGATCTTACAGAAAATGGCCAATAACTATGTTAACATTCCGTTTTCCTTTTTTTGACATGGTTCGTGGAATTTTTGATGATCGACTTTCCATATGTTGCAGTCTATTTAGGTGAGTTATTATATTAGTGTGTTATCATTGACTACTTCATTCTAGATTATTGGATGAAGTTGTGAAAATTGGCAGAGCATGTTAATAAGATAAGCAAACTTATAGAAAATTTGTGCAAGTGGGTATGATAAAGAAGAAAAGGCAGCTGGGTCTTTTTTGATCAGTTCTGATTAGTTTCAATCAGTTCTGAAATTTCAGTTCCGATCAGTTCTGAAATTTCAGTTCCGATCAGTTCTGATCTATTCTGAAATTTTAGTTCTGATCAGTTCCGATCAGTTCTGATCAGTTTTGGAATTTCAGTTTTGATCAGTTTCGATCAGTTCTGATCAGTTCTGAAATTTCAGTTTTGAAATTTCAGTTTCGATCAGTTCTGATCAGTTCCAATCAGTTCTGATGAGTTCATTTCAGGCCTTTTCTGTTTATTGCTAATTTCCTGAGTTGTTTAATGGGCTTGGCTAATTTGACCTACATAATGGTTTATATGCACCATCTACCTCTTGCTTCTACTTATCACATCAGTAGAAAGCTTAAGATAGGGAAAGTGTTACCAAAAGTCAATTCCCTTGATGCCTTGCATGCGTGTTACCCTTTTTCTTGATGAAGAGGATTTTTGGTGGACTGAGTGGTTCAACTTCTTGTTCAGAAATATATGTTAATTAAGGCTATATTTAGGAGTTTTAGAATCACCTTTTTTCCCCTTTATATTTAATTTTCCCACTGCTGATTTGGTATGTATCTAGTGGGTAAAATGAATGAATGCTTGATCATTTGAGCACTATGTTGATATAAACTGTACATTTACATATACTCATGTTATTCATCTTTGAAAGTGGTATTTGGACACATGGTAATTATATTTAAGCAATTAGATTACGTTAGTTATAATTTACAAATTGTCAAAGATTGATAGACTCATCAATGTTAATATGAGATTGAAGTTGGTTATAATTATTTAGTCTTGCTTTTACGAAGTTCTGTTGATTGGACAAGTAAGGTGTCCGTTACAAATAAATACTTATTTCGTAACTGGCACCTTTCTGTCCCTTAGGCAATTTTGAAGCCTTTTTGGCTCTATACGCTCTCAAAAGTAAGTAAATGGTCACTTTTCATTGATTTCAATTCATAGAAACCAAAATATAAGTTAATTAAGGATGTTATGTGTTTTATTGTGTTAATTTGGAACAATACATGATAGATGGGAAAGATAGAAGTCCCTTAGGCAAATGAAGCATTTTTGGCTATATACGCTCCCAAAAGTGAGTAAATGGTAACTTTTCATTGATTTCAATTCATAAAAACAAAAATATAAGTTAATTAAGGATGTTATATGTTATATTGTGTTAATTTGAACCAATACATGAAAGATGGGAAAGATAGAAGTCTCTTAGGCAATTTTGAAGCCTTTATGGCTCTATACGCTCCCAAAAGTGAGTAAATGGTCACATTTCTTGATTTCAATACATAGAAATCAAAATATAAGTTAATTAAGGATGTTATGTGTTTTATTGTGTTAATTTGGACGAATAAATGAAAGATGGGAAAGATAGAAGTTCCTTAGGCAATTTTGAAGCCTTTTTGGCTCTATACGCTCTCAAAAGTGAGTAAATGTTCACGTTTCATTGATTTCAATACATAGAAATCAAAAAATAAGTTAAATTAAGGATGTTATGTGTTTTATTGTGTTAATTTGGACCAATACATGAAAGATGAGAACGATAGAAGTCTCTTAGGCAATTTTGAAGCTTTTTTGGCTCTATACGCTCCCAAAAGTGAGTAAATGTTCACGTTTCATTCATTTCAATTCATAGAAATCAAAATATAAGTTAATTAAGGATGTTATGTGTTTTATTGTGTTAATTGGACGAATACATGAAAGATGGGAAAGATAGAAGTCCCTTAGGCAATTTTGAAGCCTTTTTGGCTCTATACGCTCCCAAAAGTGAGTAAATGTTCACGTTTCATTTATTTCAATTCATAAAAATCAATATATAAGTTAATTAAGGATGTTATGTGTTTTATTGTGTTAGTTTGGGGACCAATACATGAAAGATGAGAAAGATAGAAGTCTATTAGGCAATTTTGAAGCCTTTTTGGCTCTATACGCTCTCAAAAGTAAGTAAATGTTCACTTTTCATTGATTTCTATTTATAGAAATCAAAATATAAGTTAATTAAGGTTGTTATGTGTTTTATTTCTATATTTTGAGTTTTATTTCTTTAATTTGGACCATCACATTTATTCTAATGATTGTTTTTATTATGGATTGTTTTTATTTTGTAACCTCATTCATATGTTTTTTTTTTTCAATAGGATTTTTGTCAAAGGACAGCCCCGTATGATGTTGACGAGTTGAATGTGGTTCGAGAACAGTGGGCGCAATACTTTAGAAGTAAATATTTATTGAATGCTTAACTATTAGCTTAGGTAGAACAAAGTAATATTATTAGTGTTGTTGTATGTGTTGGATAAATTTATACAAGTTTTTATTTGTAATGTATTACTACTTCAATTTTTATATTACGCTATATTAATTTTTATGAAAGATTGTTCGGTATAATTGTTTATTTACAGGAATAGGTTTATTATAACAGGTTTTAATTAATATAAATTAATTATATATAAATACATGCTGCCAAAATTTAATAAAAAAAATTTAATTTAATGATTATTTGTAACGGGCAGGAGAGTTGACAGTTACAAATAACTACTTATTCGTAACGGGCATTTTTGTTGCCCGTTACAAATAAGTATTTAATTATATACTATAAAACTTTATTCGTAACTGACATTTGTTTATTCGTAACGGACATTTCAAATGTCAGTTACGCATAATCATTTATTCGTAACGGGTGTTTGAGGTGCCCGTTACGAATAAGGACTTATTTTAATACAATAAAGGCCTTATTCGTAACGGGCACCTGAATGTCCGTTACGAATAACCCATTATTCGTAACGGACATTTGAAATGTCAAATACGAATAAGGGGTTATTCGTAACGAACATTTGAAATGTCAGTTACGAATAAGGGGTTATTCGTAACGGACATTTGAAATGTAAGTAACGAATAATGAGTTATTCGTAACGGACAGTGCCCGTTACGAATATCAATGACCATCCGTAACAGCCGCATACGTAACGGACGCTGCCCGTTACGGATGGGCCCTTTTTGTCCGTTACGGATAACCTTTTTTCCACTAGTGAAAGTAAGTCGTATATAGATGAAGTGATTATGAACGTTTCTTAGGTCAAGAAGCTAGGCACGATATGCTTTTATGATTACAAATCAAGACTATATGCTTTGTATCATTACAAAACATTGATATATAAATGTTGCTCAGCATATTATGCGATGCATGAAACAATGAACATTGCTCAGGTCAGGAAGCTAAGCAAGTATACAATGTTTCTTTTAATGAATGTTGTCTTGAAAGATGATGAAACATGCATAGTTTTGAAACAAGAATTCATGATAAAGGGTTCTTACAGGGAAGGATGATCGATATGGATATGGATGTGTGAGTGAAGTGTGTGAATGTGATATTAAGACTGGCTGCAAGGGTTATGGTGATGGAAATATATGTGAGAAGAGTCAAAGATGATGACTCTTTAGGTTGGGTACGCTAAATGATGTGGGTTCAAGCCCCCAAGTCTAGCTCTAGATGGGTAGGGGTAAGCATTGGATATTCTTTGACTCGATCATGCATGGATATAAATATGAATGTGGTTGCACCTCGATGTGAGGTTGCCTATGTATCTGTTAGGAATCAGGCCGAACGTAGCTCTAACCGAACTTTGCACAAGTGTATGTACACCTTAAAGAGGCCTTTCAAGGGTTGTAATATGGTTAAATTGATGGTTTAAAGAAGAAAGGGGTAAAAGGCTTAAGACCCGTGAGAAGCCCCCAAGATGTGTAATTGTGAATTGGACTTTGCAAGTTTTATTTCAACATTTTTTTTGCTTTGATTTTTTTTTTGTTTGAATCAATGTGGGCAATATCAGATCATGCGGTCCATCATTCACTTAGCATTCATGTTTCTCAGGCATGGTACCAAGCACTCGATGAGAGACGCAATTTGAGACGTGTTCATATCAAAGACATTGGAACACTTGCCCTTAGACATTGTTTTTTTTTTTTTACTTATTCTTTTTTTTTATTATTATTTGAACTTGCTTTCTGACTGTTACACAAATTGAACACCTTCCCATCCCAGGTTTAAGTGAATGTGGCTTGAATAAATAAGTTTAATCGTTAGACAAGGCTCAAAGTGGTTGATGAAGAAATGGATATGTGATTGAATGGTTAATAGGGAATGAAGGGTTGCAAAGGTGCCTCAAGTCATTGGTGTACCTTGTATTTAGTTCGGTAATTTTTTTTTATTTTGCTAATTACGTGATCGAATGTAAGAAAGAGATGCTCATTTATGAAGAAGGTAAGAAATGTGACACATAGACACATGGATAAGGAGAACCTATGCTAGACTTTTTAGGGGGAAGGGTTTGAAACAAAAGAAGAAGAAAACAAGAAATCTTGGTGAGAAGCTTCCATCGTGAATTGTCTTCATGGCTGTTTATGAGTAACTTCTTGCCACCTGGTGAGGAAAAAAGTTTCTTGTTGTTGATGCTTTGATTAGAAGGAAAGAAGGAAGGAGTGACGTTCCCCTTATTCTTCCAACTATTGCCTAGTGATTTTAGACTCAAGTACTGTGTAAGGATGAACTTAGTTAATGCATTCACTCAATACTCGGATTGGAAAGGAGGAGTCTATATGAAACAATTTCGAAAATTGATGTGAAATACTCCACTCATTCCTATTACGACGGAAAACGATGCATGCATGGTCCTAATATACGACCATAAACAATATAGTGCATTACTCGAAGATAAAGTGTGTGCAACGACTCAACAGGTGTGATTAGGTGAGTTTATTGAGACTCGTGGTATGATCGCATGGCTAGACATGAGGACGTTGTGAAAAATAAAAGACTCAATGACCAAATAGCACAGAAGACTACAAGACAAACTAACTTGATTAATTTTGTCCAATTTTAATGTTTATACTATTTACTAAGTAGAAACGGTCCATTGGCAATCGTTAGTCATAAATAAGATCAGCCACAATCAAAGACAAAGAACACATGTTAAGGTTAGCACAAAAATCGTAAGAAACTAGGAAGAGTATTAGAATTCTAGAAGAGTTAGGACTCATGGGTGTAAATAAATAAATAAATAAAAATCTATAATCCTATGTTATACGAGTTGACACGGATTAAAGGACTTGGCTAAGACTAGCTTGACACGAAAAGATATGTAAAAAATTAAAATAGAAAAAAAGAAAGTTGACGCTAAAAAGACACCTAAACTGGATAGGCTGTAGTATATCAGTTATAACTTTTTATCTCTGACTCTGATTTGGACGAAACTAACTCCAAATGAAAGATAAAACTCGGGGCTATAGATCCATAGGTGGCACGATACGTAACTCTTTCAAGAACTCTGGCTATGACCAAAACAAGTTGACTCTTGTGCAGGATACGAGAATAAAAATCCGACTTGACTCAAATAAAAAAAAATCTATGACTCGACTCTAAAAAAATAAAAAGCGTTTAATAAGAGAAAAAAAATAATTAAAAAAAAACAGTAAAAAAATGCACATATATCACATTGTCAAGCATGATGCAATGAAGTTCGCAACCTAAAGTCAAGATCTATGTTCCACTATGGTCAAGCTTTTGGGTGTCAAAGGGTACCATGGTTAAGAGTTTGGACGCGTTTGCAAGGAAGCCTCCGTTGAGGGTGTATGTCAACGGGCGGCTCCGCGAGTTCATGATGAAATCAAACTCGACTCCATGGTTTGGATTGATTTAAAATTCGGATGAACCCTTTTTGTAATGAACGTTTTCGGGTTGATAGAGCTTAAATCCCCCGGGCTAGCCACATACGTAGAACACGTACTATTGTGGAAAAATAGGTGACTTAAAATTTCATATGCATGACAACTCTAATTAAATCGTAGGAATAAAATTTAAGAATCTTTCAAGTCTCATCTACTCATCTCAATTAAATACTGATCACTCAAATCGATAAATAACCAAGAATCCTCCCCAGTGGAGTCGCCAAATTGTAGGCGTCGTTTGAAGTGCGCCTACGTTAAAGCATGTTGTGAATATGCTTGGCACTCTTAGGAAGTGGGAATTGATATAATACGATTAGGGACAAGGAAAGTAGGGAGCCGCCAACAAGTTTTTAAGTAACTTGTAAACCGTTCACGGATCATTTGAGGCAACCACGATTAAGGGACAACGATTGACCCGTGAAGGTTACACCCCATTCATAATCCATGAGATTACTAACTCCATATGGTTCGGAACCACGAAAGGAGGATCGGGGATGACGGTACGAAGTGAGTCATGGAGTCACATTCGCCCATATTGGTCTTTATTCGATTCTTATAGTCAAAAGTGATTCCTGCAATCTCAAACGCATGCAAACAAAGATTTAATTCGCTTCAATCTACCATTAGGCTAAATTGGTTGAATATTAATGCAACACATAATTCTAAAATATTTGTGATCACTTGAATTAATAACAAGATTAAAAAGAAACCTAAAACAGCCGTCTAAATTATCTTATTAAACGTGATTTTCAATTACATATTCCCTTTAACATGCAATATGTTGATCAGTAAATAATAATAGAATAAACATTAATATTGGAAACAACTTAACTATAGTATCGTTAGTCAAATCAAATCATAAATTAGCCTAATCATGATACTTGCAACAAGAATAAAAATAAGAGTAATTAAGTGATTAATTACTCACTTTTCGCGTTTCCTTGAATTGCTATATCATGAATAAATTATTAGTAACTTCAATTAAAATATAAATCAAATTGACACAATTAAATTAAATAAAAAGTAGAGTTGATTTGGTCCAAAACCTCAGTTAAATATAGCTTTCACGCCTTGGTTTAAGTATAGAACTTTGGGTATTGTATAGACTCCTTAGAGTGCTTAGGGGAAGTATTTTGAGAGAATAGGGTGGCTAGTATTTAGGATAAAGAGGGAGAAGAGAATTATTTGATGATCAAGATTGTTGATCATTGAAAAAAGGGGAGATATGACCTTTATTTATAGAGAAAAAAGAAAGGTCGAAAAAACAAGATAAGATCCGAATTAAATCGGAATAAAACTCGATAGACTGCAGTTTTTGCGGTTTTTGTTTTTATCATATCTTTTGATCTAAAAATCGGAATAAGATAAATAAGATATCGTTGGAAAGCTCTTTAAGTCTCCTTTATAACCCAATTAAAATAAGATTTAAAATATTTTTTAGAATAAAAGATATGACCAAAATAGTGAGACGGTGTCATTTTTGGATAGAGTTTGATATTTTATTCATATCTTTTCCCTTATAGCTCATAATTGATATTATAATATATCATTGGAAAGATAATTTCAAGGGCTATCCAAAAATATAATATTTGGATAAAGGTTATGAGGCACGAAAATAATATTTGTCTATCTTTGAACGTCTTTCAATTTGAATAGAATTAGAACTTTTAAAAAGAAAATTTTTATTCAATTTCAGACTCTTTAATTTTATCTTTTCAAAAAGGATAATTAAGATATTTTAGAAACTTATAGAAGCTTCCAATTAATCCTGATTGGTTTAATAATGGTATTAAATCCTTTGGACCCTCCACATGATCATTGGGTCGTAGGTAAGGTGGGCTTAGGTTCGGTTTGGGCTCAGTTTAATATTTTGGTCATAACTTATTCGTTATAACTCGGATTTGGGCTTATAATATATCGTTGGAAAGCTCTTTTCCAGCACAATTTAAATTTTCAATAATTGGACCCATATTAAAGATCAAAATAAACTGAAATAAACGTTTTTATAAAAAGGACACGAAATGAATAATTATTAAGGACACAAAATGAATTATTTTGGGTTTAAAGGCACGAAAAGAAGAAAATAAGTTATGTTTTGGGGAAGTGGGATTGGAATTCGATTGGTTTATTAAATGTATTGGGATTTGAATATGGATTTAAGCACTCTAAAGATTAAATACTCAACCCGATCAATAATGGCGGTGAAAGGTTGTTCATCATCGGGTTTAGTTTTGGGGAGACATTTTTAGGTGTCTACAATAATACTCTAGCTCAAGGGTCTATTACAAATGATACTTGCATTATTTATAGTTTAGAATGTGGATTCACATGCTGAAAATGAATTTGATTTGATATGAATTTATTTTAAATGTGATTATTACAATAGGTTGCACTCTTGACTCGTAGCTCGAATGTGGATTCACAAGATGAAAATGCATTTGATTTGATTTGAATTTATTTTAAATCTAATTATTACAATATGTTGCACTCTTGACTCGTAGCTCTTGGCAATTGACATCCCTACGACTTAATGAGTGACACTTCGTAGTGTACTTCCACTCATATTATCATTTTCAAATGGAAGTACACTCCAAGTGTCACTAATTGAGTAATGGGATACTTCTCTTACTATTCTCTTCTTCTTCTTCCTCATCTATTGTGTCATCCACATTAAATCAAAACAAACATAATTGATCAAACTATATAACAGAACCTAAAGAAGCAAACATACCATTAACATCTCAAAGTTAATGCAAGCAAGTCAAAAAATGTTCTAACACTGTAAAAACTTCAATAAAATCAATAACAACGTTGTTGCAACTTAAATGCATGCTGAAAAATAACCCGATTCATCCAACACATAAACCAGATTATTCTCACAATATCAACCTAATTGTTTTACAAATTTAAGGAAAAAAAAAGACATTCCTACACATAACCATTCAAATTGATGTTCAAATTCAAGGTAAAAAACAGACCTCAACAATCTAAATGCATGTACGAAAGGAAAAAAAAAAAAATTAGTAACACAAACAAATTCAAGCCAAATCAAAATCAAAACAAATAAATACACCCAAATTTTAACCCTAATTAATCACACCTTTTAACGCCAAATTGACATACTCCGTACACATATTCGAACCTGTAAACGCCGTGATCGCAACATCCCAATCATCAGTTACTTCTACCTTTAATTTCACTTTGCCTACTTCAATTTACTCAACTTTAACAAAAATTCAAATCAGAAAGTAAATTGTACACATGCAAGTCTTTAAAAAAAACCTAAATACAAAAAATCAAATCAAAAAGTAAATTCTAAACCTAATAAATCTCACATTATTAACCCAATTAACGCAAATTATATTCCAAAATCAAAACAAAATTACCTCGCAATCTGCTTCAACAATGGCGATAGCGAAGAAAGCAAAAAAAAAAACAATATGGAGAAGTAATATCAAGTGAAATGAAAAAATAAGATGATTGCATACAGAAGAAGGATTAAAAGAAGAAGACAGAAGGGCATTTTTTAAAAAAAAAGGGCAAAATCGGGAAGTCACTATTCCTTTGAGAAATCACTGTTTACATTTGCTAAACAATGTGAAAATCCGAGTTTTAAAGGTAGTAGATAAGTTCTTTTGGTCATTGTTAACTTGGGTGTTGATATTTTATACTCACGTAGTTGTTACTTTAGTTGTCTTTTTGGACTAATAAGCAAACTATGGACATGTTCTCGTATTTTTGCTTGTTTCAAAGTACCTTTAATTTTTCACAATCAATTCTTATAACCAATCCAATTTCATATAATTTTGCTCAAATCCTTTGCATTACACTCACAAATAGGTGCCCAACAATTTCCTTTTATCTAGTTAATTAAACCCAATGCTCACACATCAACAACACACATAACATTCCTTTCTTATAAAAGAATTTAAAAACTAATTGGCTAAAATATCAAACATATAGCCTCCTATTTTGTATATTCATATAATAATCTACCATTTACTTAAATAATAAAATCTCCATGATAAAAATGAAATATTATCATAGTATTAAATAGAGATGACTTATTTAATTAATCATTCAGTATATTTTGTTCTTCTTGTACTACCTCTACATAACTTTTTCTTATCCTTTTTCTTATGCAAGTATCCTTTGCACTAAATCTGCCATACATTAACATAATACAATCCGTTAATAAATGAAACCTATAAATTAAATACACATGTAAACAGGCTTCCAAAAGAAAAGACAGCAGCAATAAAATCTTTGCATATAATGTTTCATGAAGGGGTCGATACCTTAAGTAATTCTTTAATACTCTTCTGTTCATAATCATATAACTTTTGGGCAATGTTTCACTAAGGGGTACATTCTTCTGCAGTAATCTGATTACTAACATGAATATAAATAATAACATAAAAATAGCAATTGCATTAAATTTTCCATACATTGACATAATACAATCTGATTACTAACATGAAAATAGCAATTGCATACACTAAATCTGCCATACATTAACATAATACAATTCGTTAATAGATGAAGCCATAATAATTAGTTGTAAACATGATTCTCTTCACCCATAGTATCATGAATTCTTGATAGCTTCAGCTCAAGATGCTTGTAAACAAACTACAAGAATGAGGCAAGTGCTTTCGGCTTAATTAAAGAAGTAATCAGAAAACCTAAGAATTATGCAGTCTGGTGTAGCCCAAAACCATCTTGATAGCTTCAGTTCAAGGTGCTTGTAAACAAATCACAAGGATGAGGCAAGTGTTTTCGGCTTTCAAATCTCTTGGGTCCTAAAGCCACGTACTGCCCGCATCCGCCACGAAGTTTGTCTATCATCCTGCATATAGTGAAAAAGAGAGTTTTCAATATCTTGGGTCCTAAAGCCACTTACCTTTTGCCTTATTAACTGAGCGTGCAACTATGATGGCTTAAAAATATCTTGGGTCCTAAAGCCACAAAAACAAATATTTGCATCAGAGTATTACAGTCCTACCAATCCCATTCAATTCCCACTAAAGAATATTATATATTCCAGGCAATCCTATTTAATTCCCATAAAAGAATATCGCATTCCTACTAATCACATTCGATTTCAAGTAACTGAAAACAATATTCTCTTAATTTTCCAATCTAAAAATCATCAAATTAACTTGCAAATACACCTATATATTCAACAAAGAAAATATTATCACCTTAAAGTTTACAATTCTACAAATCAAATTCGATACCCGTCACAAAATTATCACTTCCTACAATTTTTATTAGGAAAAATTGTAAATAATAATCCAACTTTGCTCCATTTTCTTTTAATAATCCCAACTTTGGATTATTCTAGAATAATCCCAACTTTTGGGGTTGTTTTCTTTCTTCAATCCCAAACCGATCAACAAAAGTCAATGACCTCTAATAGTAGGTCATATTACACGTGTCAGCTTATCATTGGTGCAAAAAATTATATTAAAAAAAACCAGAAAACACCCAGCCTCCCACTAGAACCCTCACGCCCCAACCTCATCCACCGCCTTGCCCTCCGCCATCAAAAAATCCATGCCCACACATCAAAAACACCAGACTCCCCTGAAACCTCCCCTCGCGTCGGAAACTTCGGCGCTCGATCAAAAACCACAAAACACCACCAAGCCTCCTCCCTTCTCATTTTCTCTCTCCTCGATCTTCCTAACCAACCGCCGCACCACCACCATCTTTCGACACTTGCAACGCATATACCTAACAAACACCTACATCTCAGGCAAAAAACTCCACCCCATCTTCAAAACCCCTTCAAATCAATTCTCACAAAGTCACAATCGTCATTAACAGCAAAGATGAAATCAAAATTTGAAAGGTTTTTGTCGGATTTCACATAGAATTCCCCCCCGCTGGTACCGATTTTCCGGAGGTTGTCGGAGTTAAGGGAAGACTAACCGGCGGGAGGAGATTGATGGTAATACCGGCGAGGGAATAGGAGTGGAGGGTGGGGTTTGGGGTTCCGGTGAGGGAAGGGGGAAAGGACCGGGGGATTTCAGTTTTCCTTTTTATTTATTTATTTATTTTAAAATAAATTCAACCAATAAAACTGCACCAGGTGTCATTTAAAGAAAAAAAATAAGTAAAAAACCCATTCAACCGGTAACCGGTCAATGAGATTGAAGAAAGAAAACAACCCCCAAAGTTGGGATTATTAAAAAAAAGGAGCAAAGTTGGGATTATTATTTACAATTTTTCCTTTTTATTATGCAGATGAGTTCTAAAGATTATACCAAGAGCATCTAAGTATGCCATACACTGATAAAACAACACCAAAAACTTTAATTGAAAATGAGATATCAAGGAATCAGTTAAAACATACTTCTGGTGACGAAACTCAGGTAGTGGATCAAGTAATGGACGGTTTCAAATCAAAAGGCGCGTATTCTGAACAGGAGAAGGTAAATCAACATCTGATTAAGTTATCCTGCCTTGACTAATTTGGTAAGTCTAGGTGTAGTTGCAGACTTGCTGCTGGGAGTATTATACCTGCTTCGGATAAAAACATAGAATTATACAGATAACCATAATATAAATTGTAATCAAACATCAGTATAAGCAAGAGACACCGTCACAAGAAAATGCATTGCAATTAAAAAAAAAAAAAAGAAGTCTTAACAAACATGGGTACAATCAATAATGATATTTCTAAAACGCAGATTTGGTGGAAGAGACACATCGAATCTCTTTCCCCAAACGAAAACAAAAGTAATCAATGTCATATCTTAGACCCATAAAATAGCAACTCAATCAATATTGCCTCACCTCCTCCACCATACTTTTTCTGCCCCTTCCATCAATAATTACCTAATTAATATGTTATAACCCACTATTATAAAAGAAACAAAAGGCTAAAGTGAAATTCCAAATATGAAGGTTTGAGTTGTTGACTGTTCATATAACATTATTCTTTAAAATTCAATTAGAAACCAAAATTCACTTCATGAGGGAATGCTTGTTTGCATAAAATGTAGCATACTAATTGAAATGATGACAGATAGGACCAAATGTTAATCAGGGTAATGGTACACAATGATATATCATGGTTCAAGGTGAAAATAACCTGGATTTGCAAACAACATGCCAAAAAACCAGTTGAAAACTTCTTAATGTTCTAAGGGTTCCTTGTCTTGCCTCCAAACCATATGTCATCATAGGCCAGTGATCCCTCCAAAAGCTTTGCAACAAGAACTTTACATGTATGTAGACTTTAATATGTCACTCTAAATAATGCATTCGATATTCACTTTTTAAAAAAAAAAACTTAGTTGCTTAACCTGTGAGTTGACCCCATGAGAAAAGAAAGATGAATGCACATATGTAGAAAGGAATTTCCTTAGTACCTTTGATAGATCCAAGCTTCAAAATCAAGCACTTGATCTTTCAAACTTCGAGAACCTAAATTGGTCTCATACTGAAAAACTGTAATTAAATCTTTCAATTCAAGAGGGATCCCATGAAATAGACCTGCAAAGATTACAACATGCAGATCATGTAATCAATATTTATGCAAATGGAGATACAAAGTTTATATTAAACAACTCAAAGAATTTAATTTGATTTGTGTCGCAGTCATATTAGATTTAGCTAGCTAAGAGCTCGACACAAGGGAGAAAATGTGAATACATGCAAGTTAATTAGTATATAGCACGTTAAATAAAATTAACAAAAAAAGCCCCTCTAGTTACATTATGCAAGCTGTGGACAAAAACACATACTCACAAGTCACAACGTACATGATTATAGGCCCCAAACTTGAATTATACAACCAAAACCTCGTAGTATAACTTTACAAGACTGGAATTAGCCAACTCAAAAATCAGTGCGACTAATATTGATTTAATAATCATAATAAGCTAATTTAAAAGAGACTTAAAAAACCTGAACCAACATGACCATGAGTTGGATGAATCATCACTCAATTATGACCTTAGTCGAACATGATACAAACAACCAATTTTTCTGTCTCTATACATAATAATAACAAACAATTTATTAAGTGATCTAACTTTCGGTATACTAAAAACTCTCCCTCTTCGATTATCATTAGGCTTTGAATCCTTTGATATAAGCTAATTAAGATTGAAGGCAAAATAAGGATTGTCAGCCATATTCATAGGATTTAGAAGCTATTAAGGAAAACATTATTTCAATTATAATTAATTACATAATATACAATGACCTTGTTGGTGTATTGCTTCAAATTATTAGGAATGTTATGCTTTCTTATCTTTTAGTTAGTTACCACTAGTTGCTTAATGTTAGGAGTCAATAATTATAGTTAGTCAATGTTAGTAGTAGTGGAACGTGGAGTTTGTTTCTCCACTTTGAGAATCATGTTAGTTAGTGGAGCTTAATAGTAGGGATTAGTTGTGGTTAAGGTTAGCTTATTAAAGTCGTAGAATGCCGCTTTGTACTTTGTTATGTTAATTATGCAATATTACTATGAGTAGTTTCATATGTTTTCATTGTTGTTTTCTCCTTCTCAAATTACACAAATAGCACTAACATGGTATCCGAGCTAATCCAGGTTCCGATCCTAAAACAAAATTAAATGTCGTGAGTGTCGTGAGATTGGTTTTGAGTGAAACCAAAAGGTTAAGTCGTGTTTTATTTTTTTTTAGTGCATGATTGTCATAGTATTTTTTGTGGGTAAGTTTTTTTGAGTAAGTATGGCACCAATGGTTCAAATGCAAATACACAACCCTTAATTCTAGTTTTCAAAGGTGAAAAATATCATCTTTGGAGTATCAAAATGCAAACAATGTTCAAATCTCAAGAGTTGTGGGATATTGTCGAGTGTGGGTATGTAGAACCGACGGAGTCGCCGGCGGAGCCAAATCAAAAGCTGTGTGAAAATCGCAAAAGGGATGCAAAGGCATTGTTTTATATTCAATCGGGAGTAGATGATGATATTTTCCCTAGACTTTCATCCGCAAAGACTCCAAGCAGGAATGGGATATCCTAAAAACTGAGTATAGGGGTGATAGTAAGGTAATATTTGTTAAATTACAAAACCTTCGTCGTAATTTTGAGTCACTATTAATGAAAGAAAAAGAGTCGGTGCATGAATATTTGTCTAGAGTATCAAAATTGTTAACCAAATGAGTTCATTTGGTGAAAATATTAGTGATAAAATGTTGTGTGTAAGGTGTTAAGGAGTTTAAACCCTAATTTTAATCATGTTGTTGCGGCAATTGAACAGTCTAAAGACATGTCTAATTATAGTAATGATGAATTAATGGGTTCCCTTATAGCTCATGAAGATAGAATTTCAAAGTCTCATGAGAATGAAGGAGATGAAAAAGCCTTTCAAGTTGAAGGACAAATGTCAAATGGAAGGTATTATGAGGGTAGTCGAGGTCGTGATGGAAGTGGTCGTGGTTATGGTCGAGGTAGTTGTGGTTGCGGTCGTGGTCAAGAAGAAAATGATAGTGGTGATCAATTTGAAGGACAAAGTTCATCCATGAGTAGAGTCCAATGCTACTATTGCAAGAGGTATGGTCACAAGGAAGATAGGTGTTGGGATAAGCAAAGGGATAAGCAAAGGGATAAGCAAAAGAAAGCGCATACCAATTTAGCTCAAAATGTTGAAGAAGAAGAGAGTAAGCTCTTTTAAAGTCGTGTGTCGTGGTTATGTCGTGGTTGTGGTGCCTTGAGTAACGTGAGTTAATGTATGTCGAGTTCAAGTCGAAGTCCGTCGTCACAATAGGTCGTTGGTGTTGGTGGCTTTGAAGCAAGGGGGTGTGTTGGTGTATTGCTTCAAATTATTAGGAATGTTATGCTTTCTTATCTTTTAGTTAGTTAGTTACCACTAGTTGCTTAATGTTAGGAGTCAATAATTATAGTTAGTCAATGTTTGCTTAATGTTGTGGTACGTGGAGTTTGTTTCTCCACTTTGAGAATAATGTTAGTTAGTGGAGCTTAATAGTAGGGATTAGTTGGGGTTAAGGTTAGCTTATTTAAGTCGTAGAATGCTTTGTACTTTGTTATGTTAATTATGCAATATTATTATGAGTAGTTTCATATGTTTTCATTATTGTTTTCTCCTTCTCATATTTACACAAATAGCACTAACAGACCTTTAAGGAAAACATTATTTCAAATCCACTAAAGTGGTTGACATGCATTTGCAAGTATGTCTTATATATAGTGGTCAGTGTAATCAAATTATGTATTATCTTTTAATAAAAATTCATGTGCTTATCACCTTATTCTTTAAATGGCATTGTCTTTTAGCATGAGTAAAAAGAACATCGGTGTCAAGCACAATTACTATAAAGTTCCTGGATGATATTGGAGGCTGTCTACATAACAATTTCATATTTTTTAAAGGGTTTTAATGATTTGGACCTGAATTTTTTATTTTATTTGATTTATTTGATAATGAGTAATTAATTGATATGAATAAAATAAACTCTAATATGCATACTTTGGAGTTGGGGCAAACTAATAAATAGGTGAAGTGCATTTGCATAGCATAAAAAGAAAGATGAATAATTTGTCATCAAAATGCAAACTTTTAGAAAAGAGCAATCCATAGGATAAACTCCTTTATGATTGATTTTAGAAGGCAAATAACCAGGCAACCATGGAAATAAATTCTTAAAATATATTCTTCAAAGGTAGAAAGAACAATTCTTTACAACACTGACCTCGGAAAACAGCGAAACTCGATTCTTCGAGCATTCTTCTTCAGGCGTTGCCGCTTGACACCGGTATTTCTTTCTTTCTCATCAAACCATCAAATTAATCCCAAGAAACCTAATTGAATGAATACAATCAAAACCCAATTATGTTCTTAAAACCCAATTCTTTCTAGATCCGTTAACCGTCAGCAATTGTTCTTGAAATACAAGTTCAACTTTGAGATTTTTTCCTGAAATTAGGGTTTTTCAAATCTGTAACAGATAAAATCAGAAAAAACAAAACATTACCTTACCTTAAAAGCCATGAGAGGATCACAAAGCACTTTTTGGCAACGCATGCGCCATCCCCATCGTCGAAGCTTAGAGAAAAAGCTCTTGCAAGAGAGAAAAAGTGAGATGAGAAATCTGAGAAAGAGCTTAGAGGAGAGAGGAAAGTCAAAGAGTCAGAGAAGGGTACTCACTACTAACAGAGTCACGGGTAAGAGTGTACTTTTATTTTGAGGCAAAGTCACAGGTGAGAGTTAGCTACAAATTTTTTATTTCATAAAAAAAGTAAAGTGCCACGTCAGCATTTGCACGAGCCATTCCCACGCGGGACTACTGCTCCTAACGGGCATAGGTGAGACTTTTTAAGGGTTGAGGATACTATCAATTGTGACGGGGGATGACGGACCGCTAACCGATATAGGCTACCCCGCCCAATACCAAGTGACGTCAGATTTTTTTTTTATTTTTTTTTTGGTATATTTTATTTAGGATAAATAACAGTACTTAATGACTTAATAACAGTATTTGATAAATTAATAACAGTACCTTAATTTAAAATAACAGTTTTTAATAATACACTGATTTTTACTATAATTCGATCTGATAATTACTTTAAATGACTTTTAACAGTACTAGTTATCACAACTCTACTACTTATACATCAAAATAAATTAATTTAACATATTAAAAGCCCACCATGCTTCACAATAATAGTTATTTAACTAGAAAGTTTTGACCAATACCTGAACTTAGTCGACAATGGAACCTCCGGCGTTCTGAGCTTCCGGCTTTATCAAGGTAGCTAACCCCAACCCTGTTGATTAGGGGATTTTTCCCCACCAATCACCATCTGACAAGTGGACCAATCAGGTTCCGCCATGTGTCCGTCACATGGGCCAATAGGAGCCTGTAACGTGTCAAGCAATGATCCGTCCACTCTGGACCAATTACGACACGACACGTGTCCTTCCCATGACACCTGGGATAACCGGTCACCTAGGCCCAACTTCCGAGGGAAGCCCAATCAGCCCAAAGTTAACCTAAACCTAGATTGGCACGTTTCCCGAGGTTATAAATACCTCCCTTAATCCTCATTAAGGGAGATTACGCAGATTACACACATTAAACTCTCTCACCTAGAGAGACCCAATCACTTTAATTTCCGCATTAATTACTCCTTAATCAAGTACTAACTTGACCGTCGGAGGCGGATCTCCAATCATCCGGAGCATCCGTTTGTTTTGCAGGTACAGGCGTCCGGTTCCAGTCTCGGAATTGTAACTCTCCCGCAGGACATCAGAAAACCCCGAAACATCTTGGCGCCGTCTGTGGGGAGAGTACTTCTAAGATGGCATCCACGTTTGTACCGGCTCCTGAAGAGAGACGTCCCCTGGACGACCCTCTAGTTCAGTCGGACCACGATACTGAGAATGAATTTGAAGTTGAAGCTCACACAGCTTCAGACGGGACCCTAAGGGCCCGACGTACCCGTCATACCGAAAGGAGGGAACGGGAACATCTTCAAACTGGAAGCGAGCCAGCAGGCGCACCGCCTGTTCGGCAGCAGCCGACTGATGGGTCTGCTCCCATCACAAGGAACGAACTCATGACCTTCATGAGGGACTTCAAGGGAGAAATTCAAGAGTTGATCAACAAGAAGCCGCCTGCTCTGGACAAGGAGCAGTCGGCTAAGAAACCCTCCACTTCACGGAAGAGGAAGCCAGTTCAAGGGCGAGAGGCGACCCCTCATCCTAAATCTAGGAAGTGGGAGCCACCTGCCCTTGATTTCACAAAATACCGTTTTCCTACTCCAGGAAATAGGAAACCTGTTCGTCATATTCAGCCGGACGGGTCGAGGAAAACATACACAAACGCTCGGCTACTGCTAGAGCAGAAGAAGAGTGACCGATTGTCAGAGTCGGCCTCTACTTCAAACTTCCAAGACAGTCTGCGAAATACCTCGATGAGGCATACTCAGTCGTATCATGAGAGTCAGTCAGGCGGCACCTCCCGTCAGTCCGGCTTTCATAGCGACCAGGCGGTACCAAACTTACCGTTTGTACCGCAACAACAGTATTTTTTACAGCCACCTCCGTTTGGTGGACATGCAGCAAAAAATGTCCAACCTATGGACTGGCAGCTACGGTTGCTTAGACTTGGTGAACAGCCGTCGGCCTTCTCCAAGGAAATTACTGAAGCCGCTCAGCCGGTCAAAGTGAAAAATGTATTAGTAGGCGCCTATGACGGCACTGCTAACCCAGAAGACCATCTGATGGCATTCACCAACCTGATGTACCTTCAAGGGTTGGATGATCCCACTTAGTGCAAGTGTTTCCCAGCGACTCTCAAAGGAATCACACAAAAATGGTTCGGCAACCTGCCGACTGGTTGTGTAAATAACTTCAAGACGCTTGCTTACTTATTCACCTCCAACTTCGCCATGAACATCCCAGCGAAGAAGACGACCCTTGATTTAGGAACAATTCAGCAGGGCGAGAAGGAGGGGCTTCGATCTTACATCAGGCGGTTTAATCTGATGAGAATACAGATTCAAGGGTTACTGGATGAAGTAGCCTATACTGACTTTTTCAGAGGTCTCAAAGACGGGTCGACCTTCAAATTTGATTTGGTCCGAAAGAGGGTGGCGACTCTTCAAGAGGCCTTGATTGAAGCGGAAGCTTATATATAGGCGACTGATCTTTGTAGTACGGTAAAACAGTCAGACGGGAGAAGGTCCGACAAAAGAGAAGGACGACAGAAACAGTCGTCAAACAAAGATGAGAAGAAGAGAAAAGAGGTCTGGGCGGCTGATTCCTCTAAAAAGCCGGCCCAGAAGAAGAATAAAGAATTCAAACCATACTCCCCAAAGTATGCGTTTAACAAGGATAGCCAAGCTATCCTAAAGGAAATCAAGGGACGGATCTCAATTGAGAAGCCGGTCCCCATGAAGGGTTCTGCAAACAACCGGAACCAAGAAAAATTATGTGATTATCATGAAGATGTTGGTCATCACACCAATGACTGCATCAGTCTCATGCGGTATCTGGACCGCCTGGCTGAGCAAGGTGATCTTGACACTTATGTCAAGAAATCTACGGGGAACACTTCCTCGAAAAAGCAGTCGGCCAAAAAGAATCAACAGGCCGACAGTTCCGATACAGATGATGCAATCGTCTACACCATTGCAGGCGGCTTCTCAGGAGGCGGCCCCACTATTAGGGGCAACAAAGACAATATCAGACGGTTAGATGTAAATTCCGTTCACCAAGAACGGCCCTCCAAATATTTATTTCCTGAGATTGTCATCACTGAAGAAGATCTAGGAGGGGTAAGAGGGCCGCATGACGACCCTATCGTTATTGAATGTAAAGTGGCCAACCAGAGAGTTGGCCGAATCCTCATAGATACCGGAAGCTCCTCAGATCTCATCAGTAGCAAATGTCTGTCGAAACTAAAATATCAGACTGATTGCATACATCCGGCATCCCACCCTTTAGTAGGGTTTGGAGGAGGAGTCGTCCACCCAGTGGGACGAGTGGATTTACCCATCCGCCTGGGCGAAAAAGGGGAAGGACGACACATGGTAGTCCGGTTCCTGGTAGTAGAAGAACTCTCGGCCTACAACATGATTCTGGGACGACCAACCCTGAATAATTCCAAGGCTGTTATAATCCCATCTCTTATGTTGCTCAAGTTTGAGAGGGATAATGGAACAGTCGGGTCCCTAAGGGGAGATCAGAGGATGGCCCGTGAGTGCTATCTCTCGGATGTCAAGCCCACTGTTATGGCCACTGGGTCGAGCGGTGGAAAAATAGACCTTGACAATGTCAAGGAGAGTGCGCCTGTTCAAGAAGCAGGCGGCAAGAAGAGAAAGGCATCCCAGACAGGGGCCGCAAGGAAAAACAGAAAATAGCAATCATTGGCAGAGGAGCGGTCGGATGAATTCCGCCCTCAGCCAGCTGGTGAGCATACGGACCTGATCTTAGATGACTCGCGTCCTGACAGAACAATCAAGGTTGGGACGACTGCTCTAAGGGACCTGGGTGACGACTTTCACAAACTATTGAAAGAATACAAGGACATCTTTGCATTCGAAGTCCATGAAATGTCAGGCATTAGTCCTGATCTGGCGGTACATAAACTGGTCGTGGATCCGAAAAAGAAGCCGGTACGGCAGAAGAAGCGGAACCATGGCGAAGAAAGAAGTCAGGCGGCAGCCGCCGAAGTTAAAAAATTACTTGATGCAGGGTTCATTCGGCAATGTTACTTCCCAGACTGGGTTGCAAATGTGGTGCTTATTAAAAAGCCGAATGGCACCTGGCGAATGTGTGTAGATTACACAGACTTAAACAAGGCGTGCCCCAAAGACAGTTACCCTCTGCCTAAAATTGATAACCTGGTCGACTCAACAGCCGGCCATGCTTTGATGAGCTTTATGGACGCCTACTCTGGTTTCCATCAAATTCCTTTATGGGAGAAAGATCAGGAGAAGACGGCCTTCGTCACTGATCAGGGGTTATACTGTTACACGGTCATGCCGTTTGGTCTTAAGAATGCCCCGACCACTTTCCAGCGAATGATAAACACTGTGTTCTTTGATCAGATTGGGAGAAATGTCGAGGCATATATTGATGATATGATTGTCAAGTCTAAACTTCAGAAAGATCATCTGTCGGACCTCCGAGAAACTTTCGCCACACTCAGGCGGCACCATGTCATGCTCAATCCCAGGAAATGTTTCTTTGGAGTTGAGTCTGGGAAATTTCTCGGATTCCTTATCAATCAGAGAGGAATAAAGGCGAACCCTGAGAAGGTGCAGGCGGTCATCGACATGCAGTCGCCTCGTACCATCCGAGAGGTTCAGAAGTTAACAGGTTGTCTGGCGGATAAAATATTCATTTTAGCTTAGTTAAGTTCAAATCAGTTCAGTTCAAGTTCAATCAGTTAAGTTCAGTTCAGCCCAGCTCAGTTCAATAAATGTGAACATGCACTATGTTAAATTAAGTTCGGTAAAAATGATTTAATATCAACAAAATTAACTTAATATTAATTAAAATAAATTAAGTTTTTAGAAAAATATTTTAAAGTTTGATAAGTTTCACGTGGCATAAAATATACAGAGATTTAATACAAAAAATGTTTTTGGAAGTCATAAAATAAACTTAAATTTTGTTATGCGTTAGAGAAAATGGGTGGGGATAATAGAATTAGGAGCGTGTTAAGAGAGGGAGGGAGGGAGGGAGGGAGAGAGAGAGAGAGAGGGGGTATTTTTTGCAATGTATACCAATAAGTTGGTATTTAAAATTAGCAACTCCAAAAGAAAGTTGCCAA